TCGAGTTTCTCTCAAAATTCGATCGATCAAAATACGAACTGAATGTTGTTGCTATAGAAACAAATTCATCTTATTTGTGAAATGAAGAGTGTGGTAAAAGAACATAAGACCTCCGCAGTCTGAGTATGAACAGCTAAAAATCACATTCGAAACCTGATATTATTTCATAAAGCGTCCAATGATAGAACTAGAGTATCAAAAGTGAAACACTGAATGGCATATCGTTCTTTACTCCGTACAATACTGCCGTGCTAAGGAAAAATGCCGTATTAATATTCGAGAGTTGCGAAATTTCCTAAAATTAATTATGTATTTTTGACGACATTTATGCTCATTTTTCTTTGAAATTTTTAGATATTTTAGATTCAATTGCGTACGAAATTATCTGAAAATTTCGCAAGAAATATTCAAAATTTTCCCTGCAAATTTGGTTTTTTTATCGAAGGAAATTAGACAACTCTCGAAGGTCCTCACGGCGTTCTTCCTCAGCACAGCAGAATACTGATGCGCTAGGAGAACACACCATTTCGTCGCTCCTCTGACAAAAGAGCAAATCTCGATTTTCGCATATGCCGCGGAAAACATGGATTCATTAGCACAGCAGGGCGCTAATGGGAATTGAATCACGAAATCGAAAACACACCAACTCGGAAAAGAAAAATTGATCAGGAAACACCTAAAACTGCGCAGCGGGCGAAGAAATTAGTTTGAGAAAAACATTTTTGGTGCCCAAAGACAAGTACTTAGAGACTTTGTAAAGCACCAAGTTGAAATCGATACACCATGTTTTATTACAGAGAATTAAGCTTTTAAACATTTCCGAGTTGGTGTGTTTTTGTTCTCACGGACTTTTAGATACTAATTTTTCATAGTCTGCACGGAAAAATTTATATTCTTCGACCTGAATAACGCTTAAATATTTTAATAACTTGTTGGTACAAGGTATACTGAACCGAAAAAAGAAAACCGCAAAATCGGATGGTCACCCGTTTTCCTTGAAATGGCCAAAAATTGGTATTTCCAATGAAATACTTCGATTTTTCCCTTTTCCCGTAGCTGTTTCGGGCACTTCCGATTGCAATTTCGAAATTTCCTTTTGCGTGCAGATGCTTCTATCCATAAGTGTTACTAAACCGTAAAAAAGTGAAAATCCTATGATAAAGTATGCATTTTCTCGGAAGTTTGTGAATATTTTCCTTTCAAGTTTTAGATAATTTTATCTGCGTTGTAAGTGTAATATCCGATAATTCCTAAGACGAATAATCCTAACTTTTCATGAAGTTAGATATTTTATCGCGGAAATTTCTGGGATATTCGAATGTTCATAAGGCGTTCCTCTATGGCACGGTAGAATGGACCTCCATGTCCCAGATATCGGTTCACCTACGTTAATTAGCCACTCGCCTTATATTTTACGACGTGATTATGAATCAGCAGCCGGACAGCAAGTCTCTCGATTTACAAAAAGTATGTTTAAAATAACGTTTCTGACTTAAAACGGATTTTACGGTAAATTTGTAATTTAACTTAACCGCGTCCATTCGTAAAGTGTAAAACCACGTATCCTCCGATTGTGACAGTACAGGCTACCCATGGATCATATTCGATACATTAAACGAGGGAGATGGTATAGATATCGATTGCTTCAACATGTAAACATAGCTTCGAAAATCAATTGAGTATAATCTGAGGGAACGGGTTTCTTGTGATAGGTTTTTGACTCTTATGAGTATAAAATGGTGATTCAAAGAGTGAAATTGTTAGGAATTTTCTCATTTTCAGCTTTTCCTACTTAGATTCTAAAATGTTTGTTTGAGGATATGTTGTATTGTTTTGAACCAAACTAAACATTGAAGTAATATCGAATACGACCTATGATATACTTCATTTTTCTCTGGAAAACTGATCGATTTATTTTTCTGAAAACAATTATTTTTCTTCTCGTCAGAAAAATATTCTGTATGAATTTCAAGTTGAATAGTTGGCCTATTTCTCCTAGAAAAATAAAACAGTAGCGAATATTTAGAAACATCACAATGGATGTACGCGGTTTTGCAATTTGGCTATCGATGTCTTATTAAATTGATGTCTTATCGATGTCGACCTCCTATGATGTAGTGGTTGTTGCGCTAGCTCTATGATCGGGGGGTCCGATTCCCGGCCAGGGGACCCGAGTTTGATGGTCTCAAACAATGGTTGCCTGGAGGACGGGACAGAAGCGCAGGACTAATCCTGCGCTTAAAGGCACTACCCCCCCCCCCCCCNAAAAAAAAAAAAAAAAAAAAAAAAAAAAAAAAAAAAAAAAAAAAAAAAAATCGGATGAATCGGAATCAGCTCAACTACATCAAACGTTGCCGACTTTTTTCAATCTTTTGTTTTTCAAACAAACTCGAAAGCAATACTAAAACTTGAAACTTTTTCAAATATAATTGTTATAATCTAGAATATATTTACAAAAATTTCTTAGGCGTTTAGTAATCTATAGTTATCAGTCAAGAAAATAAAACATACGGAAAAATTCGGCAATACAAAATGCAATCAGGCTGAACCCAGTTGAATCTGATTGTCATCTGATTCTCTTTACGGCATTTATAGCTATGAAAGGATGATACACTTACCCGTATAATATAACAAAACGCTTTCTCGGCCGTAACTTTCAAGCTTTAAGTGCTTAGATCGGAGAATAGAATGGTTCAAAAATAAATTAATAAAATATAAAGGTATGAAGAATAAAAGTGAACTAACTTTTACGACGATAGATTAAAATTCTGCTGTTAAAATCAGTCGCACTGAAAACGAGCCGGTGCATGAAACGAGTCTGGAAAACTTTAACTTATCGTCGTACAAGAGAGTTCGGCTTTTATTCCTTTTATTTGTAATTAGTTTTCAATGCGCTTGAGTGGGGATCACAGACAAGTTTAGTGGTGCAATCAGGATTTCCGTAAAATCTTTTTTTCGTTGGATTAATTAGACGAATCTTAAAACACGAGATCTTTCAGGAGTCACGCTATGCCTAAATCGTATGCAGCTCAATGGTCAAAAAAAAAAAAAAAAAAACTTATTTAATTCAAGGACAGGAATCTATATATCCCGTATAAAATGTGACTCTATTAAACGCGCCCTTTTACAACCGGCATATAAACTTATTTATATTAGAACACCAAATTCCTAGTAGAAAGAACGTTCTGTTTGATCGTTACCTCTTTCCTGTCTTTCGGTTTTTCGTTACCTGTCTAAAAATACTCAAATTTATTAATCAATTAGTTATATTTTCTCCAATAAAACAGCTCATACTTCTCTCAATAATTTCGGGTACGTACCTTTTTATTTCATCCCTTCGCCTGTGAAAAAAATCTTCGGAAGTAAGTAGCAGGCTGTCATTTTACGGGCATTTTTATATTTCTTTCTCTAGACAATCCGTGGCACTTTCTACAAATGCCTTAACACTTAATCATCAATTAAAACTTTATAAACTGAACTTACACCTTCCCTAAGATAGAATTGACAGGAAGGACTATTTAATAATTTGAAAAATGAGGAATCCTCTTTTTTACTCCTCATATTCACTTCCGAATTTCTTCGCCGAGCTGCGAGAACGCTCTGGCGATCTCGTTTTCAAAAACAATCTCAGAATTATCAAACGCGAACGAAATTGCTGTTGACACTGTTACAAGGTTTTTGTCCGCCAGATTTGGTGTCAGTAAGTAACGAAGTCACGGCCACGAACAGAACTATACACGTAACGTAGTGGCTTAATTTCGGCAAATTTACCGGAAATTTTCCTATTAAGGAAAAATAGTAGTTGCGTGGAATTACAGCACCTGCCGAAATGATTTGATAGTTAATCAATCAATCTGCTGATATTTCCGGGATTGTAAGAAATGTTTTCAAAAAATCCCTGTAAGTTGAATCATACTGTGATGCATGAATGAAAGTTGATCATGAAAAAGTTTAAAGCAACTCTAAGATCACCCCGCGACTAAAAATGACGATTATTTGAACTAAATTTTGAAATTATTTGGAACTACAATTTCTAACTCATAAATAAAAACACCTATCTGCATAGGGAAAGTAGTGGTACACACGTTGTAACTAAATCGTAGTTCCAAATTGCAAAATGTGGTCCATTTGTGGTATTCTCATGCTGCCATGCTCAGAAAAAACGCCGTATGAGTAGTTGACTGTTGCCGAATTTCTGTTTATTAAAAATAAAATAATTTTTGGGATACTTGTGAATATAATTCCTCAATTTTTTCAGACAAATTTAGCTGCAATCTAATGTAAAGAGTCCGAAAATTTAAAAAAAACATATTCATAATTTCTGCCAAGAACAAGTATATTATCAAATGAAATTTGGCAACGTCAGACTGTACAATTGACATCATTCCTTATTACATCAGCATTGACCGCCCTTTCGCTCATATTTACCATAAAGTATTATTTGATTGAATTTACATATCCTACTTGACGCATTAAGGTTTGCTTTAAATTTCAGGGATTCTGAAAAATAACTGATTTTCCATCAAACTGGTTTCGTTAGTGCTGCGTGCCCATCACCAAGAGAGGATTTCCTTTTTCTAATTTGAAGACAATTTTTATACTCAAATAATTGACAAGACACCTGACTTTTTTAAAAACAAAAAAACATTGTTTTTGCTTTTGAAAAAATACATATTACAGTAAGTTTCCACGCATTTATAATGATGCATTTTCTCAACCCTCTACAGCATGGCGTTACGAATTCGTAGCAGTGTATTTCTTGGGGGTTTAAAAATTAAATCTTTCCTCTGTCGCATGATGTTGTAAATTTTCATTAGTGTTTTCTTTATTTGAATAACTGTCTCCATAAAATTTAAAATTTTGAAAAAAAAAATTTAATATTCCATGTTTTTTATGCAATTTACAAAAATAGATTAGCGTGTGAGATCCGAAATTAATGCATGCCATGGAAGGTTGAAGTTACAAAACAAAACGGAAAAATGATGAGAGGCGTTACTCACTTGAAAAAAAATGACCGGTAACCTCTAAAACACTGAACACCTAAAAAAACACTATACACGTCAAGTCGAACACAAAACCAGGATACTCGGAGAGCTCTTGGCACAAGGCGGTGGAAGGTCCAGGCGAAAAGGTGAAAATCCACTGGACGGCGGAAAACGCGGTGCGACTCGCGGTCGGCAAGACTATAACCTATTAACCTATTAGCGGAAAATCATGGTGGCGGGAGACGGAGCGAAGGAAAATCGCATCGGAGGAAGAACCGAGATTGCAATCCGCGAATCGCGAGTTGGTTCGCGCGTCACAACGATTTCAATGTCTCCGTCCTCAGGTTCACGCAGACGCCACCACGCGCAACGTCCGAAATCTGATCCGAACCGCCAGCGCCGACCAGGATACTCCGCGCCTGGTCACGTCCGTGACCCTCCCTGCACCCTGCCCCCCCCCCCCCCCGCTCAAGACACCCACGATGCCTACCGGGGCCCATCCTTTGTTTCTATTTTAGTGTTTGGAGTCGGCTACGGGACGGGGTCAGGGTGGCATGAAACGTAAGAGAGAAATGAAAGATTGGAAATTTCAGCACTGAAAAAAAAATGTGCTTGGCTCAAGCATATTGATTCTTGAAATTTCCGCCAAGAATTGTTTGTTATTTTTGTTTAAGCTGAATTTTTCTTGATACAAGGAAAATGCACCTCACACCCTGCCCCCCTCTCACGCTTAAGACGCCCGCAATGCCCACCGGGGGCCATCCTTTGTTTCTATTTTAGTGTTTGGAGTCGGCTACGGGACGGGGTCAGAGTGGCATGAAACGTAAGAGAGAAATGAAAGATTGGAAATTTCAGCACTGAAAAAAAAATGTGCTTGGCTCAAGCATATTGATTCTTGAAATTTCCGCCAAGAATTGTTTGTTATTTTTGTTTAAGCTGAATTTTTCTTGATACAAGGAAAATGCACCTCACACCCTGCCCCCCTCTCACGCTTAAGACGCCCGCAATGCCCACCATGGGCCATCCTTTGTTTCTATTTTAGTGTTTGGAGTCGGCTACGGGACGGGGTCAGGGGGGCATGAAACGTAAGAGAGAAATGAAAGATTGGAAATTTCAGCACTGAAAAAAAAATGTGCTTGGCTCAAGCATATTGATTCTTGAAATTTCCGCCAAGAATTGTTTGTTATTTTTGTTTAAGCTGAATTTTTCTTGATACAAGGAAAATGCACCTCACACCCTGCCCCCCTCTCACGCTTAAGACGCCCGCAATGCCCACCGGGGGCCATCCTTTGTTTCTATTTTAGTGTTTGGAGTCGGCTACGGGACG